GTGTTTTATATATTTTATTGACTTTTTTACACAGAGGAAGAGAGAGGGATAGAGAGTTAGAAACATCAGTGAGAGAATCATCAACCAGCTGCCTTTTGCACACCCCCTGCTGGGGATGTGCCTGCAACCAAGGTACATGCCCTTGACCGGAATCGAACCCAGGACTCTTCAGTCCACAGCTGACACCCTACCCACTAAGCCAAACCAGCTAGGGCTGTTCTGGTGCATGTGGTTTTTTTTTTAATAGCATCTGAGCATTTGCATCTATTGCTGAGTAAGCAAAGCCCAGTCCAGATTCAGTGTCTGTACTCATCAGGGCCCATTTGTAGGCCACCAGCAGCAGTCTGACTTGCCAGCTATGATCAAAGCCTTTGCCCCGGGGAACCTGCCCCAGAGCCACTGCAGTCTTCCTGCACACTTAGTTTGTGGGCCCCGGTGGCCGCCTCCAGAGAGCACACAGACATATCTGCTGGTTGATTTTCATCATCTTCCAAATCTGGAGGGAGTTCTTCAGATGGACACCTGCGTGTCCTACTTTATTCATGCCTCAAGTTCCCATAGGGATTTCCACAGGGAGCGAGTTCCCACTGCCCTCCTGCCTGCTCAGATGGCCAGGCCATTGGTCACTACTGATGAGTTTGTAGGAACAAAAACATAGGGAATTTGACTGTTCAGTTCTTCCATCGCTGCTAGGAAAACAGCATGCAGTTCAGTCCACTGAACCGATCGGTCCTTACTTCTTTGATCAGCGTAGTGGCCACCTAACCACGATGTCATTTATTCACCATGGAACTGCCGTCCACAAACCAAGCAGCTCTTGTTGGTCAGTTAAGGGCTATTGATAGAGCACCGTCCGGTGACAACAGAAGCCAGGAGCTCCTCAGACCATTCCAAAGTTGGTTGTAGGGGAGAAAGGTTCCCTGCTTGTGAGCATGTATTTGTGTTCCCAGCAGCACGAGCCTGTATAAACCATTTCCATGTCATTATCCAACTCTTCCGGGCCCCGCAGTACCCATTAGAGCATTTTTCTGACATCACCCAACACACTGTGGATAGTTCAGGTTTCAAGATCATTTTATGTCCTTCAGCCTTATGAGTAGCTTCGATTTTTGACTGATAGCAAGGTAGGAAATACCCCAAAATGAAAATTCTCTTGTCCAACGTACCCGTAGTCGTCACTAGGTGGCGCTCACGGGATGTTGTAATAGTCCAGCCCGCACTCCATTGGGCTACTGCAGAGGAGCTATTCCAGCTTCCCTTCCACGCTTTGTGGGCTCAGGCAACTGCCCAGCTGCCCATTCAGCATGCCCAGTTAATGTGGCCAGACGGACGCATTTACATACCTGTTTTACACGACTAGGTAGGGAACCGTTCCCCAGTTAGAGACAATGTCCATCCCATAACACGGTGGTCCTCAACCTTTCTAATGCCTCAACCCTTCCATACAGCTCCTCATGTTGTGGTGACCCCCAACCATAAAATTATTTTCGCTGCTACTTCGTAACTGTCATTTTGCTACTGTTAATGAACTATAGTGTAAATATCTGTGTTTTCTGACAGTTGTAAGCTCTACAGCAGTGGTTCTCAACCTTGCAGCGTCGCCTAAGACCAGCATCCAAAACAATCTGCTTACTCTCAGAATCCCTTTCAGTGAAGGCTCTTCAGGAAACCGGTGATACCAATCTGCCCTCTGGTTTCTGTGGTTTCTTGATTTGGCCCTTCCCTGATGTCCACTACCTTCTTGGTGACCACAGATCTTAGAGATTCTTTCTGTGCTTCCTGCACCATTTTCACCTTGAGCAGCAGTTGGGAGGCCAGTGGCTGAAGCTCAACCTCACTGAAGTCGGAGTTTGTCCTAGCATCAAGGTCCAGCCCCAAACTCTATTTTTTTAAAATATATTTTATTGTTTTTTTACAGAGAGGAAGAGAGAGGGATAGAGAGTAAGAAACATCGATGAGAGATGTTCATTCTACTGGGGATGTGCCCACAACCAAGGCCCTTGACCGGAATCAAACCTGGGACCTTTCAGTCACAGGCCGCCGCTCTATCCACTGAGCCAAACTGGTTTTGGCCAGCCCCAAACTCTTTTTAAATTTTGCTTTAGTTATTCTAGCTAACAATAACAAAGAGATGGAGTGTTTTACTTTTTTAAAAATATATATATTTTTATTTATTTGAGAGAGAGAGGAGTGGGGGGAGGGGGGGGGGGAGAGAGAGAGAGAGAGAGAGAGAGAGAGAGAGAGAGAGAGAAAGAGAGAGAGAGAGAGAGACTGAATAGTTGCCCCCCATATGCATCCTGACTAGGGACTGAGCCCACAACCTGGGTATGTGCCCTGACCGGGAATTGAACCAACGACCTTTTGGTGCATGGGATGATCTACACCAGCCAGGGTTTACCTCTTTTTTATTTGTGGGTTTTTTTTAAATGTATTTTATTGATTTTTTTTACAGAGAGGAAGGGAGAGGGAGAGAGAGTTAGAAACATCGATGAGAGAGAAACATCAATCAGCTGCTTCCTGTACACCCCCTACTTGGGATGTGCCCACAACCAAGGTGCATGCCCTTCATCAGGAATCGAACCTGGGACCCTTAAGTCCTCAGGCCGACACTCTATCCACTGAGCCAAACCGGTTAGGACACCTCTTTTTTATTAGTTTGCATGTCTTTATCCACCCCCTGAACCAGCTCCTCAGGAGAAGACTCATTTCTAAATTCTGTTGGTAAATTTGCCTTTGACAACTGAGCACATCACAGCTGCGGCTCATCCATGGGTAACTATGTGACCAGTAGGAACCAAAGGCTCCTTCTCTTCATCCTTTCTCTCTCCCAACCGTATGTTTCTATGAGCCAGAGACATCCTAGCAAATCCCACTTTCCTCACACCAACGGTAAGGAGACCCTCGTTGCTTGTAGCACAGGTGTTTTCAGAGTCCTGTGCCAGGAAATGGTGTCAGATGCCAATATATACCAGTTTTTTCTCTATTAATCTGCAGCCATCCATGTGTGTCATCAGATTGACAAAAATTACAAAGCCTGATGATGCCAAGTATTGGGCAGGTGTGGGCTGGGCCAGAAGAAACTCACTTTGCTGACAGGAGTGCATTTTGTTGCTCCACAATGGAATCAACCCTCCCCACAAAATTTGGTTCAGATGTGGAGACGGATGAGGCCACTCACACCGAGAGAATATGATGAGAGGGATGAGGTTTTCGTGGGGAGCAGGGCATGTCTGAAATGTCTTGAAAAAGCAAAGAGGGCCCTGACTGGTTTGGCTCAGTGGATAGAGCGTTGGCCTGCGTACTCAGGTTCGATTCAGGTCAAGGGCATGTGCCTTGGTTGCGGGCACATCCCCAGTAGGGGGTGTGCAGGAGGCAGCTGATTGATGTTTCTCTCTCATCGATGTTCCTAACTCTCTATTCCTCTCCCTTCCTCTCTGTAAAAAATCAATAAAATATATTTAAAAGAAAAAGCAAAGAGGGACCTTTCTGGTGGTGAGGGATGAGGCTGCCCGAGGCCCCTACACACTGCCAGGGCTTTCCTGGTGTCCGTTTCCCTCGGCACCAAGGCCTCCTTGTCAGCCTGCCCTGCTGGGCAGCACAAGGCGAGGAAGGACGCACGGGGCTTTAAGTCTGCCAGCAATCAAACATCAAAAACGGAGCCAGACGGTTTATTACAGAGTGTAAATTAGTACCTGCATTTTGGGAACCAGTTTGGCAATATTTAATAAAGCTGAAGAGCGTAGCCTCTGTGGTAGATAAAAGATGGCTGCAGATTCTTTGCCATTCCTTCCAGTAAGAGATGAAATCTACCCTCTCCTCTGAGCCCCAGGTGGGTTCAGTGACTTGCTTGCCCAGTGGAATGCCCTGGGAGTGATGGTCCTGGGACCTTCAGGCTGCATCTGAAGACCTGCAGCTTCCTGGAACCTCTCTCTCGGGCAGGTCAGTTGCCATGTCAGGAGTCTGGGGTGGCCAAACTGTGAGGAAATCCACGAGGCCACAGGCAGGGGCTGCGGGGAGAGAGAAATGCTGTCTGGCCCCAGCTCACACAGCCATCCAGCCCAGGCATCAGACGTGAGAGCAGAGGAACCTACGGGTGACTCCAGCCCTGGCCACCGTTTACCTGCAACTGCATGAGGTCCCCCGCAGAACCAGCCAGGCCTCGGACATAATTGTAGTTTAAGCCTCTCGGTTGTGGGATGGTTATTACGCAGCAGGAGATCGTGGGAACAGCTCTCCCCACTGACTCCACCTCTAGACGGATGGAACACCCACCACTGTGCCCATGGAAACGTGTGCACAAAGGCTGTGCATTAGAATGTTGGAAATGTGCCAACAGTGTTCATTGATAGGAGCATGGAGGAATAAAGTAAAGATAAATATAGGGTGATACGCCATACAGCTATTAGGGACAGACAAAATCCAAATGCATCATCCTGGATAAATCTCAGAAATCTTCTGGAAAACAGCTGCCTGGATTCTTTTTTAAAATTATTATATCAATATATATATTGTATGTGTATATATATATATATATATATATATATGTATATGTATATGTATATGTATATGTATATGTATATGTATATGTATGTACACACACACACACACACACACACACATATATATATATATATATATATATATATATATATATATATATTTGATTTTTTTACAGAGAGGAACAGAGAGTTAGAAGCATCGATGAGAGAGAATCATTGATCAGCTGCCTCTTACACACCCCCCAACTGGGGATGTGCCTGCAACCAAGGTACATGCCCTTGACCAGAATCGAACCTGGGACCTTTCAGTCTGCAGGCCGATGCTCTATCCACTGAGCTAAACTGGTTTCGGCTGCCTGGATTCTTTAAAAATAAAAATAAAATTCAGTATCATAAAAGACACATAAAAAAACAAAGGAACTACTTTAGATTAAAAGAGACTAAAGAGAAATGACAGCTAGATGCAATATGTGATCTCTGAACTTCTCCTGGATTTATTTATTTTTTTTTAAAGAAAAATGTAGGGTTTAATACACCCTTTTAATTTGTTTTTAAGTATTTTTAAGATTTAAAGTGTTTAAACTTTGTAATTCCTAGTAGGAAAACATTATCTGAACGAATACCGCAATGGCAAACTGCTGTAAAATGTTACAGTTGTGTTTAGGACAGAGGGGTAGGGATTCTCCTCAAAGCACCCCAGCTTTCTTCATGAGAAGGTCAGAGGTACACTGGTTTGTATTAGTGTGACATCCATTGGGTGATCCAAGTTGCTTTTCCTTCAGCAAGGGCTCTATTTGTCAGAAGGGTATTATGCTTGACCTCTAAATTTGGCTGACAATTTACTGATGAGATTCATAACCTTTGGGTTGCTCTGATATTTTGACATATTTGCTGGGTTCTGAGCCACATCCTGGAAGGCCACCATAACTTCTGGATCCTGCATGGCTGCAAGGACCTCTGGATCACTAAGGATTTCGTTGAGCCCAGGCATTCCTGCCATCCCAGGCACGCCGCCCCCCATTCCAGGCATCCCCCCAGGAAAGCCACCTGGAAAAGAGCCAAACTGAGCTCCTGATTGTCGTCTGGCTTCTTCCTCCCTCTGGCTTTCTCATGTTCTTCCCGAGCCTTCTTGACCCTTTCCATCCTTTCTTTGATCTCTCGCTCTTCCCGTTTCCGCTCATACTTCCTCCGATGTTCTGTGGTTTTCTGGGCCTTTGGTTGAACTTCTTTCAGCATTGCACTGGCATCTTCATCATAGTCCAATTTACACGCAAGGACAAGATCATGGGCTGCTTCTTCCCAGTGGCCCAGGAGTCTGTGTGCTTTCCCTCGCCACTTGTAAGGCTGAGCTGAATCAGGATTTATTTCAATAGCTCTGTCACAGTCTCAGATAGCAGCATTTGGCTTCTGTAATTTGATGAAGACACTGGCTCTCTTGGCATACAGAATAGCCAAACGGGGATTCAGCTTGATGACATCTGTGAACAAGTCTATGGCTTTCTGTAGTTCACCATCATTTAGGGCATCAATGGCAGCCACTTTTTTATCATTTGCCTGATCCATCATCTCGTCAGTTATCTCTACATTTTCATCTCCCATTTCTTGAGGAGCGTCAGTGTCTGGTTCAATCACACCCTCATTGTCGATTTCTAGATCACTTTCCTCACTTGATGGTTCATCTGTCTTTATGTCTTCCTCCACCTTCTTACTATCTGTTTTTTCCGCCTTATTTTCTTCTGTTTTAGTTTTATGAGTAGCAGGTGGTATTTTACCTCCCATACTCTCCACCCACTCCCGCAGGAAGCGCATCTCCTCGGCGTGCAGCACGCTCGGGTCTTGCTTGCACATCTTCATGAAGGCGCGGAGCTCGCTCACTTTGCGGGGGGTCCATGGCGGGGCGGGCGGCGGGGCTGTGGCGGGCACAGGCGCTCCCTCGGCCGCACCGTGTGGAAGGAACTGAACTTCTCCTGGATTAAAAAAAAAAAAAAAATCATTTAAAGAAGGCATCTTGTGTGGCCGGTGTGGCTCAGTGGTTAAGCATCAACCTATGAACCAGGAGATCACTGGTTCGATTCCTGGTCAGGGTGCATGGCCCAGTTGTGAGCACAGTCCCCAGTAGAGGGTGTGCAGGATGCAGCTGATCAATGACTCTCTCTTATCATTGCTGTTTCTATCTCTCTCTCCCTCTCCCTTCCTCTCTGAAATAATTTTAAAAATCTAAAATTATAAATAATAAATAAAAGGGCATTCCTGTAATAAACAGAAAAAGGATTATTGCATCTACAGTATTTTATCAGATACTGCGTCCTCAGGAGATGCTGAGTAAGAAGCTGAAGCAGCCAATAGTAAACTTTAGCAAAACGTGTGCCTGTGTGTGCAGCGTGCGAGAGAGAGGAAGCAAATGTGGCAAAACGCTCACAACTGTGAGCCTTCGGGGAAGCTATTCATTGCATTGTTCCCGCAGCCTTTCTTTAGGTCTGGAGCTTCTCAAACCTCTCGATTCCACTGATTCACACAACATCGATGTATCTCAGAAGCATTATGCTTAGCTTATCAAAGAGGTTTATAGTACAGGCACAAAAGACCACACACTATACCCTGAGCGGCCAGATCATTATGATCGCTGAACGCATAATAATCTGGCCACTCAGTGTATATATATATTAGAGGCCCAGCGTATGAATTCGTGCATGGATGGGGTCGGGCCAGCCTGGCCAGAGGGAGGGGACATGGGTGGTTGGCCAGCCTGCCTGCTGGTCGAACTCCTGGCCAAGGAGGCAATTTGCATATTAGCCTTTTATTATATAGGACATACAGTGAGTGGCCAGATTATTATGCATTCAGGGATCATAGTAATCTGGCTGCTCAGTGTATCTGATTCTATTTAGGGAGCGTTCTGGAAAAGACAGAAGGACAGTGACAGAAAGCAGGTCAGGGATCACCGGAGGCTGGGGTGGGAGAGTGACTGGCTGCCGAGGGGGATGAGGAAGTTCGTGGTGACGAAAGCGCTCTGTGTCTCTCTGAGGAGGACGCAGTGGCCCCGGCAGCGAGCCCCACTCGCCCGCCCACTCCTGCTCCTGACTCACCTGTTTGCTCTCACCGAGAACAAGTGGGTCAGAAGCTGAAAGAGGTGGAAAGACACCACGGGACCAGAGGTGGTGATTCACCGAGTTAGATTACTCTCACCAGCCACAGTGTAACATCTTCGGCCTGATTGGAGGCGAAAAGGAAAAGGATCTCAAACTGTAAGGACCAGTGCGGATGTGTGCCAAGACTCGGGGAATCACCACGAGAAACACTCCCTGTGGGGAAGGTGCCAGCACGTGGGATTGTTTTCAGAGGGGGATCCACAAGTGGGTCATTGATTACACAGGCCCTCGCGATGGTCATCGGGTGACTTCCACCAGCATTGAGCCAGGAGTCCAGGTTAAAGTCACCATTGCAGATGTTCAAATCAACCTTGTAAATAAATTGACTATCAGCTGTTTTTAAAAATATGTATATTTTTATTGATTTCAGGGAGGAAGGGAGAGAGATAGGAACATCAATGATGAGAGAGCATCACCGATCAGCTGCCTCCTCCCTACTGGGGATCAAGCTCACAACCTGGGCAGGTGCCCTTGACCAGAATTGAACCCAGGTCCGCAGGCAACACTCTATCCCCTGAGCCAAACCAGCCAGGGCTATCAGCTGTGTTGTGTGTTTTTTTAAAGTGTTCCTTATCATGATTGTGGTGGCAGTTACGTTACTGCATATACTTCTCAAAAGCTCATCAAATGAAACACTTAAAATTGCTTAACTTTATTATACAAAAATTATTCCTTGGAGTAGGCTGAATTGTGTCTCCAAAAAACACAAGTCCCAGTCCTAACCTCCGGTCCCCGAGAAGTGACGCTGTTTCAAAGGAGGGTCTCTGCCATGGCGCCATCCCCCGCACTGAAAGGGCGCCGTTTGACGCTGGGTCAGGGCACATGCTGGGGTGCAAGCTCGATCCCCAGTAGGGGGCATGTCAGAGGCCGCTGACTGAAGTCTCATTCTCATAATGATGTTTCTCTTTCTCCCTTTCCCTTCCTCTCTCTAAAAAAAGAAAAAAATCAATAAAAAAAAATACTTTTTAGAAAGGGGTCTTTGCAGATATAAGTTAAGTCTCCAGATGACATCACCCTGGATTTAGGATGTGCCCTCAACCTAACCCCTGTGTCCTCAGGAGAGAAAGTAGGGAGCCCTGCCAGACCCAGGGACACAGAGAGGACCAAGGGGGTGGAAATGAGGCAGAGGTTGGAGTGATGTGCCTATGAGCCTAGAAGTGTCAGGTGCTGGCAGCACCGGAAACTGGGAGAGAGGCTCAGAATAGGTTTCCTCTTAGGAGCATCTGTAAGGAACCAACCCTGCCCGCACCCTAATTTTGGTTTGGCCTCCAGAAGTAAGAGACAGCAAGTTTTTGTTGTTTGGTAATTTGTTGCAGCAGGTCTAGAAAACAAATACCTACCTCAATAAAGCTGATTTTTTTTTTTTAAGTTGGGGGGGGGGGGGGGGGACAAACACTCGGAAACATCAGGTTAAATGCATCAGGAGCCAGGTAAGGGTCTACCATGTAGGCACAGGCCAACCACTCACCTCCCTGAGCTGGTTTCCTGTTTGAAGGGTGTGAACACATCAAAGTGTCAGGAGGATAAAACACACTCTAATGTGCGTGGTGAGTCACCTTTGTGGCTAGGCTGAGGATCACTAGCCTGGCCTTCACAGGCTTGTACTTCAACCTCATTTAATCCTCACACCTCTACGCGCTGGACTTTGTCACACCCATTTTACAGATGGTGAAACTGAGGGCTGCAGAGGTTAATGAGCTGAACGACACTGGTGTGCGCAGCTGAGAAGTGGCCAGACTGGGATCTGGATCTGGACTGAGGTTATTGGCTCATTTTTGGTTTATGGGTTCACACCTGTTCCAGCTCCGGGTGGACTGTGGATCTCTGGGGAGCCAGGCTTTGACCATTTCGTCTCCAGATGAGCCCAGCCCCCTGCCGGACAGGAGGAGGACTTGAGAAGTGTGGGTGTGTGTGAGAATGGGTGACCTGGCGTCTAGAGGGGGTCAGCCCTGCCAAGTCCCCTGGGTTGTTACCACAGATGCCAGGGGAGTGCAGGGCAGCCTTGCTGGGCAATAGAGCTCCCAGACCCCTTTGCAAAGAACTGGCTCTTCTCTCCATGGCGGCAGGAACCCCGTCCCAACGCCAGGGCCCAGGAGTTCCCGCACTAAAACACCCCTCCCAGGAGTCTGCACCCATTTCCCCACAAATCAGTAGTCCCAGCTCCCATCTTATTTTTTTTAAGATCCAGCCAGAGCTGAGACCGGTTTGGCTCAATGGATAGAGTGTCAGCTTGGAGATTGAAAGGTCCCAGGTTCGATTCCGGTCAAGGACATGTACCTTGGTTGCGGGCACATCCCCAGTGGGGGGTGTGCAGGAGGCAGCGGATCAATGACTCTCTCTCATCTATGTTTCTAACTCTCTATCTCTCTCCCTTCCTCTCTGTACAAAATCAATAAAATATATATATTTTTTAAAATAAATAAATAAATAAATAAATAAGAGATCCAGCCAGATAGAGTCTCCGCGGAGAGCGGCCAGGTTACCTGCTTCAAGAGTGCTTGGACGAACCGGCGCTCCCCGCCGCCTCCTCGCAGCGACTCGGGCCCCGGACCCGGACCCGGACGACCCCAGGCCCCCGCTGCCGCTCCGCTCCGCCGCCGCCGCCGCCGCCGCCGCCGCCGCCGTCCGCCGTGCCCGCCTCGCAGGAGCGCCAGAACTACCACCAGGACTCGGAGGCCGCCATCAACCGCCAGATCAACCTGGAGCTGTACGCCTCCTACGTCTACCTGTCCATGTCTTACTACTTTGACCGTGATGGTGTGGCTCTGAAGAACTTTGCCAAATATTTCCTTCACCAATCTCACGAGGAGAGGGACCATGCCGAGAAGCTGATGAAGCTGCAGAACCAGCGCGGCGGCCGAATCTTCCTTCAGGATATCAAGGAACCAGACCGTGACGACTGGGAGAACGGGCTGAATGCAATGGAGTGTGCTCTGCACTTGGAGAAAAGTGTGCATCAGTCACTACTGGACCTGCACAAGCTGGCCACTGACAAAAATGACCCCCATTTGTGTGACTTCCTGGAGACGCACTGCCTGACCGAGCAGGTGAAATCCATCAAAGAACTGGGTGACCACGTAACCAACTTGCGCAGGATGGGGGCCCCCGAAGCTGGCATGGCCGAGTATCTCTTTGACAAGCACACCCTGGGCAGCTGTGACGAGAGCTAAGCCTTGGCTGCTTCCGGTAGCCTCGGGGGTGATTTCCTGGTCACCACGTAGTATGCATGTTGGAGTTCCCTTTCCCTTTCCTATAACTTGTACCAAATCAGCCCTCATGCCTCTCATTTGTACCATCCTTCAAATAAAGGAATTTGGTACAAAAAAAAAAAAAAGATCCAGCAAGATAGATCTCTGTACCCCATGACCCGGCATCCTTACCCCCAGCCAGAGGGACACAGGACCCCCTGGACGGACAGACAGAGCTGGATATGCACACCTCCACCCACCTTCACCTCCAACCGTGTCATGTGGTAGCCTCACCTGAATTCAGCGGGGAGGGAGTCTTTACACCACAGAAATGGGCAAATGCAACAAATCCAGGTGTTCTTTTCCCCCAGACAGCCTGTTCTTAAATAGGTATCTTGCCCCAGCTGGTTTGGCCAGTGGATAGAGTGTCAGCCTGCAGACTGAAGGGTCCCGGGTTCGATTCTGGCTAAGGGCACATGCCCAGGTTGTGGGCTCGATCCCCCAGTAGGGGGTGTGCTGGAAGCAGACAATCAACAATTCTCTCTCATCATTGATGTTTCTGTCTCTCTATCTTTCTCCCTTCCTCTTGGAAATCAATAAAGAAATATATAAAATAGC